TTCAAGGATCCTGGCAAAATCCCAAGGCTCTTGCCTAGTTTCCCTTGTGCTTTTTCCAGCCCCTCACTGGCCAGCTGCTGCATGGGAGTAGGAGCTCTTCCCATACTGCTTTTTGCTTTTAAGAATGGCAGAAGAATGCCTTGAGTTTCCCAAAAGATAGAAGTTGCCTTGGTATAAATTAATTTGCAAGGGCCAATTATTTGAAATAGCTGGATTTTCCTCCTGAAGTCTTTGTAAGATTGCATAACTTTTGGATGGTGAGACAAGAGATTATTTGCCTTGGTTTACATGCTGAAAGAGACTGCAGAAGGGCTGTAGGCATGGGCCAAATGCTGTCTTTTATCAAACTACATGAAACAACTCTGTTAAGGTTGCTGCAGGAGTGCCATTTCTCCAGCGTCTCAAGGAGCTCAGGGTCTGCAGTGAGTTTCTGTCATCATTTCTTGGGGATGTTGGTTGAGTGCTTAACACTGTGGCCTAGAAGACAGGCTCCGCTGCTCACTGCGATCTTGTCTCTGATGGTCTCCTCTCTGCAGCAGCAAGGCAGATTTTCCAATTTCTGTTGCTGTTTCCTCTCACTCAGGTGATGCTGAAATGTGCACCATGGGAGTGGTCGGACCACTCCACAAAAAAAAGACAGGCTCTTCTTCCCTGAAGTCCACTTGGTCTGACAGGCAGAAAAACAAAGAAATGTATTAGAGGAACTGGTGGATAATACCTGCCCAGCTTATGCTGATAAACTTCCCACACCATGTGAATAATTTACAGCATCTGCAAAAAATTCTTTTTTTAGCCTATGGTCATTGCAGTGAACATAGCACATAGATGTACGTGGGCTTCTCTCCTACAGACTTGTTGCTTGGAGTGGTAATACATGAAATAAGTCTGTTTTGTTAGTAGAAGGTACCATTATTGTGGCTATGCAGCCTTCATCACAGGGAGCAGTAGCCCACCAGGCTTGATTTTGTGAAGGAATGAGATTGTTTTCACATTATCTTTTCTTGTGTTCCTGTCAAATGCATTGAAAGGAATAAAAGTACCAGAAAAAATCAAATAAAGCAGTACTGAATTTATCAAATGCCATGAGCCAATTAGATGAATCACTAATATGGATAGGGCATTATTGTAGGGTACTTAAAGATACATTTTCTTGCATCCAAGTCAGACAATACAGGATGGAGTTCATCAGTTTCTTTTGGAAAGAAATCACAGATCACTTCATGTGATGTTACCACCTTGGTTTTCATTTACAACCAAATAAAAATGTGGTTATGTTTTTAATATTTGTTTATTGCTTTTATTTCTACCATATTCCTGTTTATTGGCTTTTTCCCATATGTATATGCTTCTTGAGTCTCCCATCCACTCATTATGTGTAATTTATTAATATTATTTATTAATATTTATTAATTTATTAATGTAAATTATCGACATTGTTATTTCCTGATGCCTTCCTGGCTGAGGCTAGGCTCCCAGTTGGAGGTTGGATGTGGCACCTCTGGCCAGGTGCAGGGACCCAGGAAACAGGCACATGCATGGCAGCTGCCAGTCCCTGTCCACAGCCTCTGTGACTGTGCCTAGTTCTGAAGGTCTGCGAGGAAGAAGCTTTTTGTGGATCGTGCATGTCTCTTCAATGTCGTGGGCATTTGTGTCCCAAAGAGCCCCATTTTATCACTGTGGACACTTGAGTCTTGACAAAGGTCTGGGCCCTTGCAGCTGCATCCGGTGGAGGCTGCAGAAGTCTGAGACGGGCCCATGACTCATCGAAAAACCTTTGCTCCTGGCAAATCTTTCATTGGTTTTGTTGGCTTCCTCAGGCAGCTTTGGCTTCAGAGCCTCTTTTGCTCCTATTTTGCTGTCAGAATCATTCATTAGCATTTTCCTTCCCACTGTGGAGATACATATAAAGATGTTCTTTCATTGCCTCTCGCGTGTAAACATAGTAGGGTACTTTTTGCAAAGGGACTTTATGTATTTATATGTCAGGGTCATTGTGGTGCATGCAGTTACTTGAGGGCACCATGTTCATGGCTGATGCTTTATTTATATACAGGGCTAGATTGTTGCATCTGCAGAACGGTAAGGAGCTCAGGCTTCTTCTGCCACTCAAACTTGTGAAGTAATCAACAGAGCAAGAGTTGCTCATGACAGCCCATAAGGAAATTGAAACTCTGTGGAAACTAATAGAGGGTGTCTCTGTAATGATGTGCCCAAACTCCAGACAGCTGGCTGAAGAGCAGAATATTTTTACTCCATGGCATTTGCAAGGTGCTGTAGGACAGCGTATCCACTCCTGCTCCCCTGCCAGTGAAGTGGGCTTCCCCTGGGAGTGGAATGGCCCCCACCTGCTGCCACCAGGCATTATACCAAGAGGGTCAGGTGAACCCAATCCTCTTGAGGTATAGCAGTGGCATTCCTCACTCAGGGATTGCAGACTACAGTTCCTGTTTGACTGTGTAGAAAGACCACCACCACACCAAAAAAATCCCTGTGCAACTTGTAAATCACTCCTCTATTGATGTTGCTTCATGCAGACATTGCATTTATAGGACATGGGATCCAATAGCATAATTCTGTGTGATGTTGGAGGAACATTACCCCAAATACTAGAAAATTTCTTTTATAAAGACAGTGGTTCTTTTTGTTTGCCTCTTGGTTTATGACATTTGTGCTCAGATGTGAGATATTGCCAGATACTTAGTTTTAAATGGAAGCTGAGATAAAGATTCAATTCTTGGTACTGCATTTAAGAAGAATCCCAAATATCGTAAGATTTATGGTGAGCTAGCAACACTGGAAATGAAAATAACTTTCTGATAGGATATAATATGGCATGTAAAGTATAGAAGTGCTGTGGGGTTTCAATGTATTACTTCTGACTTGTTTTAAAAAATATAATTTTTTTTTCAATTAGTACGTACATTTCAGAGCTGCTGATATAAAGATCTAGGCTTCCCAGCCCTTGCTATCATATGTGGTGCTGACTACCATGTAAGTCACATTGCCTGCCTAATGTTGTAGTGATGGGTTTTGACATTTTGTTGGTAAGCCTCATAGACAGAGACAGATTTGAGTGGAAAGGTCTGGTCACCATGGGGTGCTTCCTGTTGAGGCTTGCTTCATGCAGATGGCTGGATTCTGATGCCATTGCGCCACCACCAAAGGGTTGTGTTCCCCTGTGCGTGGCAGAGCTATGTCCTGGCAAAGGCCTTGCTCTGTGAAAATAAGCAATAACTTCTCCAGGGGGCAAGAGGGAACTAAAAAGTAGACATGACATGTCTGCACACCAGCCAAGACCACAACTGTGGTGACAGAGCCACTGAGGAGTTGAGCCTGGCACACCTGTGTGGTGTTAGCAGGATAAACCAGCAGGGCTTTGGAAAGCTGTTGAAAAGAGGAAATTATGGCTGTGTCTTAGACACCTCATCATGAGTGTCCCAGAGCAGCTGGTGAGCACTGGTCCAACAGAATCATAGATGGGCAGTGGGACCAAAGTCCTACCCAGTAGCACCACAAAGATGCATCATCAGATGCACATACATGTTGACACAGTGTTCTTTTCAAATCGTTCCTACACACTTCCCCTGCACTCTTAAAACTAAACAGTATTTTGGTTGAGGAGACCTCTGACTGTGGTAGCTAGAAAGAACCAAAGGTGTGAAAACCCAGTCAGGTCTGCTGTGCAAACCATGGTTCATTCACAGAGAGGATACCACAGCCCTGTGCCTATCCTGTTCTTGGGACAATTGCACAGAAAAGCCCAAGAAGAGGTAAAAGCAGGAAATTTGGCACTGCCCATGTGTGTACCTGGGGCTGGGGTGCTGGGCAGCATAGGGGTGCAAACCCATAACAGCTGTATGAGGGCAGTGTAGCCCCAGCAGTGTGCTGACTCCTGAGATGGGCTAGGAAAAATTAGTGATGTTAATGACTGAATAGGGAAATCCTGCTGGGAAACATGTCCTTGACCTTATTATGCAGTGTCTGGGGGCTTGTAGAATTCCAGCTTAATCTGCTGGGTCAGAGCAGAGCATTGCTATTTGTATGGTGTCCTACATGTTATAATGACCAGTTTGTATTTTATTAAAGCAGAGCTTCTAGTGTCTGGGATGGAGGGATGAGGATGTTTTACTGTCTTGGCAGCAGTGACGCTAGACTTACCCCATTAGGTTACACTGCTGCAGGGTGCAGTGTGGCTCTGAAGCCAGGGCCAGGGCTGCTGGGCACAGCTGGAGCAATACAGGACAGCCACAGGGAAGTGGCTGAGAGCCCGCAGCCCTTGGGAATTACAGATAGGGCTCATGTTTAGCATCACTGTTTTCGCGTAGCCATAAAAAGAAATGTTTGTAGCATTTAGGGATCTGAGCTGGAATACTGGCTCCATTGAAATCAGCAGCATAACTCCCCCTGAATTCCACACAGACAAGATTTAACTCTCTCAGTGCAGAGGCACTTGGGGTTATTGATTTCCGTGCTGCGATTGTCTTTGCTAGAACCACAAGCATCAGTCACATTAAACAGGGATAGATAAACAAGGAAAACCAAAAACATGAGAGGAAAGTCTGCAGCTCCATCTAGCATAAATTGTTCTTATTTGTGTATTTCCTTCCCCGCTTTCATCTGAACAAGGACAAACAAAGAACTCTCTGAGATGCAATTTATGTAATAGCAAGAAACCCAAAATGCTAGTTTTTACTGAAAATCCTTGACCTATCATTTTCTATCATCTTCACTAAAAGGAAATCAATGTCACCAGTTTGGATGTATCCCAAGGAATTTTCTTTCCATATCTGAAAGCATTGTGTATTCACAAAGCCAGTAGCAAGTAAATGTGATCAGAATGATGTTGATTTAAATTTGGGTGAATAAGAAGCCTTGGGAAGAGGTGCAAGACTTGATAGTTGGGTTTGCTTGCATTTCTATTCATACCTGCTCTATATTTTTATTTTAGGAAAGCAGAAAAAACTCTGTATATTCCTGGAAGAGAGGAGAAACAAAAAAAATCTTTTGAAGTGTGTTACTGTTTATTAATACCCCTCATCAGACTCAACACTTCTGCACAAGGGATGTGCTGCTCACCAGCCTTGTCCTCTGACCACCTCTCCTGGTTAACCTTCTCCCATATCTGAGTCTTTCTGGCAGAAGATGCTCAAATACCTTTTGGAGGGAGGGTTTGAAGGATGTCAGTGCAGAACTGCTGCTGTGATGTCTTTGCCAGCATGTGACACCCAGCTCCAGCACGCCTGAGCCCCACTGTCACCACCATGCTGGTCGCAACTGTACTTGACAGGCTGACGGGGCACGCAAAAGCATGCTGCCACCATTTAGCTCCAAAACAAGGGCTAAATCTCCTTCCAGGCTGAGACAAAGCTTCCTCCAGTTGGATTCTGGCAGCTCTGGAGAAAAGCCAGGTCCCGGCCAGGAGCGGTGCCAGCAGTGGTGGCGCTGATGGAGGCAGCAGCCGGTAGGCAAAGCACGCGGGCAGGCCAGCTGGCAGCACTGTGGTCATTATTTCCAGGATCTGTGAATCCTGGTCAAATAAAATAGAAGCCTTTATCAGCTGAAGCATATCAGCCACTTCTTTTGGGAGGAGTGGATTTAGGAGTTGTGATCTCTGACAGCGATAGCAGCAGGTTTGTGCCCTGCCTCTCACCAGGCAAGAAACAGTGGTCACCCTTCGATGCCACACACCTCCTTGCTGTCTGTAAGAGGCTGGCTGACATTTTGGGTGGCATGGGTGGCTATCAGCAGGGCAGTGGGGTAGTTTGAGGCGGTTTGAAGTCACTACTGGGAGTGGTGCATCGAGTCATTAGGCTGCATCACACCCTCAAACCCTCAAATGACTTGATTGAATGTTGTTTATCAACACTGTAGTTCATCAAGCCTTCAGTGGCTGTTCAGTGAAGAGCAATTTAACTAATCTGAAAGTGTCCCTGTAAGTTAAATGTACCGGTAACTAATTACATGTGTTATAAATGTGTTGTTTTATGTCAATCATAGTCATATGAAGTATATACTGTTTCTGATTTCTCACTGTAGGCAGCTAGACCAACAACTTTAAAATAAACCTTTTCAAGAAAATTGGTTATTTTTATCTAGTGCTCTCAATTTTCACCTTGAGCCAATATTTACCTATTCAATCAGACTGAAGTTAAAGAATGACTGATAAGTATTTGTTTAAACTTTGGAAGCCCCCCACTTTTTTTTTTTTTTATCTCAGTTTTCTTGACTATCAGCTTGCTGTACTAATTGCCATACCTAATCACTTTTCCACTAGGAAATAGCCTGGGACTGATAGGAACCAAATATTTGGAAATCTGAGCTGTATTTGTTAAAAAATACACCCATTCTGGGGAAGGTAGTGTTAATGTAGAGTACCCCATCTGAGCATCACCTGCAGGAGAGCTGGTCCCTGTGCTGGGCCATACCACATAGCATTGGCACCCACTTCTCATTAAAGTTAATGGTGAAACGTAACTGCACACCCATAGGGTCCGTACTTCTTGTGGAGAGGGACATATGGGATCACAGGGGATCATCTGGTGCACACTGGGTTGGGGGTGGATTTGCTGCTCCCACTGCTTGTGGAGGGGGAAGAGCATCATGAGAGCCTGGTGTATGCTCCCAGAGGATGCTCTCATTACCACTACACTCCATGGCCCACTGTGAGGCGGGCTGACATTCTCCTTTCTGCTTCACCTGCTGTGTTTCTCTGCCCAGGTGATATTCCGAGCCCTGTCACCACCTTACGCCGCGGAGGACCCTTACAGTGTGGAAGCCCAGGCACAGCTGAAGATCACCAACCTGCGAGTGCGGCTGCTGGAGCGGCAGGGCTGCCCCTGCCTCCCGGCCCCCCAGACCCCCCAGCCCACGCCATCCCTGCACTTTGCCATCTATGACTTCATCGTCAAGGGCAGCTGCTTCTGCAATGGCCATGCTGACCACTGCATCCCTGTTGCTGGATTCAAGCCCATCAAGGCAGCTGGTGTTTTCCATGTGGTATGTACATGCACCCAACAATGTCTGAAGTGCAGGAAAGCAGAGTTTTAAAAATAGCAAGGGATAGTATAGGTCCAAGTATGCAATATTTGACAAGAAATGCCCTGAATTCCAAGCACAGTGGGCAGAAATGGTCTTTACAAAGGAGGTGGTCTCCATATGGGGCTGAAGCACTGAACTTCCTTTGTGCCTTGGTGTGGGACTTTCATCTTTCAAAGGTGTTCCTCTATAATTTGTTTATTTTAGGTAGATCCTTAAAAAAATTAAATTGCTGACTCCCATCTTCCCCCAAATGCTAACTTGCAATAACACAATATCTAAAAGATAATAAATGCAAGGCATTTGCTGACAAAGTAGGAGGAGAGCTTCTCTGAAGGTACTAGGCATCATGTGACTGCCATTGCTTTTGGAGGATCCTCAGATATTAGATTGGGTCCTGAACCAAGGGGACAGAGAGCTTGGTTTTGACTCTCACTCCCAGGCTTTCTATTGCACTTTGTAGTACCTTTCTCTGGATGAACACCCTGTGTTCTGGTTTCAAGGGGACTTCATCCCAAGAGCTCTGAGCTCAAATGCCTTGGGACCCACCAAGACCTAAACCCCAGTCCGCCCATGTCCCAAGGAAGCAAGAGCCACTAACCCATTGGGGAGGCGATGGGCACAGCAGCAGCTGACATATGCCTGTGGCATGGCATGCCTGCACCCAGCCAGTTCAGGGACACTTGCTGCCTCCAGCACATCTTGTCCTTTTTGCCCATCTACGTTGGCTCAGAAAACCCTGGATTTGCTGGCAGAGCAGTAAGGAAAGCTGGGGCAGCCAAACATATTGTGCTGAATAATGTTAGAAAGGGAACAGATCATAAAAAAAAAAAAGGCAGTTACTCAAGCTAAGGAGTCCAGCTCTTTGGGGAACTCTCATTTCACTTAAATTACTATCTCAGGCATGAAGCCAACAGCATGTTTCCCTTCTAAGTGCTAGTCTTGCAACGTCTTGAGAATACACCAATTTGAAAGCATACAGCGCTGTGCTCAGGATTATTTTGGTGGGATACAATTGCATGGGAGCGTGCCCTGGAGCACCAGTGAGAGTTGTAACAGAGCCTGCAGCCAAATAGGCTTCCGGTATGGCTATAGTGTATGGAAAGGATAGTGAGCAGGTAACAGGCTGTGCTGTGGGAAGGAAATAAGTGCCAAAATCACACTGAAAACCAAAGCAAGAAATAGCAACAAGTCCCTGTGCTGGCCCCAAGGGGGAAATTCAACTCTGATTATAAATGTTTATGTGGCAGGAGTCCCAAAGATGATGTTTCTACAGTAAGGCTGACTCACTTACTGTGTCATACAGCTTATTCTGCATGTCCCGTGAGATATGTGTTAGTGTAGGGGTGGCATAACCCCATGGTTTGCAGGGAGGGTGAAGGAGTGGTAAGAGGTTTCCTCTCCCAATACCACTGTTTCCATCATAGGACTGAGGTAGTTTTGACTGAGCCTTGCCCATGCCAGGCTTCTGCTTGGCACGAGGTTACTGCTATTCGGGAACTGCAGTGGCAACCCACTTATGCATACCAGGCTGCAGTTTGCCAGTGCATTGCTTCAGGACTGGAATAGAAGATTATTTGCAAGATGATAGGAAGATGTGTGTGTGAATGAACAGAAAAGGGATGAAAGATTGTGGTGTTCGTGGCTGTTTAGCTGGGAGAAGTCAGAAAACTACTGAAAAAAGGTTAGGATTTCAGAGAGGGAGCATATTTGTACATTTCACCTGAAAAACTCAGGGAAAATATAATTCTGAAGCATTATGGTCAGTCATTCAAGAGAGAGATGGGAACTTCAATCTAGTCTTTATGTAACTGTTTCTATCTGGGGTTTTAGTGGAACCTTCACTATAAAACCAAGGACAAACAAAAAAAACCCAAACCCAACAAAAGCTGGGAAGCACATTATTATTTCACAGTATGATTATAAAATCTGGTTCTGTTTTTATGCTTGTTTAAACCGGAGCACTCATGAAGAATATCCCCTAAGACAAAGAGTTAACATCAAAATTTAAGCAAGTTTAAAATCCTTTTAAAAAGCCCCCAAGTTTTCAAAAAAATATATGTGCAAGTTTTCTTAACCCTCTACTTGGTCTCAGTGTACAGGCAAAATCCTAACTGCAGGCTTAGTTTCAGCCCCTGCTTGCCTAGTGGAAGACCCAGACATGATATATTTGTTTTTCTTTTGGGCTGCTCTGGGCAGTAAGTCAGGGTGTCATGGCAGCACTGGGCATAGCTGCCAGGTGCCAGATCTTGTGAAGTAACCAGAAGCATTTCAGCCATCTCACCCAGAGAGAATCTGACAAAACAGCGTGGGGATGTGGGGATGCTGTGGGCTGCTGTTCAGTCAGGTTTGGTGCAGGGTCCTGGCCCAAGACGCCAGGATGCTCCACTCGGCTTGGGACACTGGCCCAGCTTACTGCTGCAGGATTTCTCCCATTGGATGCATTTTTTTCTTGAGGTCTGGGCATCCATGAGTTGAGAAACTGACAGTTTTGAAGGTAAATATTGTGCATGGCTGAAGCGAGGCTAGAAGTCCACTTGCCCATGAGATAATACTGACCCGGGACATTGTTAGGGTAAGGAGTTGGGATGCAGACAGTGGCTTTATGGACAAAGAGGGCCTCCTTCCACTCCAGCAGAAGCAGCTCTAGCTCCATTCACTGGGATGGGATAACCTCCTTTGCAATCTGAGTCAAGTCAAAGCAAAGTTGGACTTTACAGAGTCCAAACATTCACTGTGAGAATATTTCACATTAACCCAAACAGCAAAAAACAGTAGCCAAGAACTAATAAGAAAAGAGATTTGTTTCTCTGCCCTCACCACCATCCAGCTGCAAAACACTCTGTGGTGCTCCTCTCCTGCTGGCAATTCCCCTGTTCACTCTTTCTCCTAAAAGAGAATGGAATTTATGTGGGAAAGCTCTGGTTTTGTTTGAGTATCAGGAATGCCATGTCAGCCTTTAGGTGAATTCTGCTCAAAATACAGGTGGGACTTCTGCTCTGCGGGAGGGTATATCTCCATGAGCTCCCCAGGAAGACTACAGAGAAGCCCTGGCTGCCTTCCAAGGATGGCAAGGGCTGCTCCTCATGAGTAGTATGATCCTGACTGTCCCTTGCTGTACACTTGTGTGCCACAGACAGCTGTCGGGTTGATACAGATATACTTTCTCTCTTTCCTACGTCTCCCAAATTTATTCTAAGGGTCACTACCCAAAACTCATCAGCAACAGCCCAATGCGTACCCAGAAAAAATTGTGCATGGACAAACAGACCGCATACCATACTTTGCAAAGCAGTTGATCAGTTTGTGAGCTACATTACATGGCAAACCACAAACATGAGTAGAGAAATGAATTCACACACATAGGAGATCCCTCCTGATCTTCAGTGGCCATGAGAAGTCTGTTTTTATCTCTGATCTGTGGTGCAGGATCTTCTCACCCTTTGCTTGTGCTCGTGGAGCCATTGCAGCGCCTGCTTGGCCCCTTACCTGCTAAAGCATCCCCATGGCCTGCTCGCAACTGTAGCAAGTGTCATACAAGAGGAGATGCGAGTGTCGTGCAAGCCTGGAGATAAGTAGGGTCTTGAAATTTAGGACTCCAAAATGGGGAAAGCAAACCAAGAGATACCTCACCTCAGCCGTGCAGTTCTGTCTCAAAGTGAGAGCTGGAGTTCATCCATCTCAGAGACTCCATGGCCCTCCCTGATTGCAGAGTCCTGCCAACAGCTTAGTGGTTTTCACGGGTGGCATGAATTATCAGTCTTAAAGGGCTGTGTCATTGCTAGTGCAATGCTTTTACCTCCATGAGATGAGATCCACTATCAGTTGATGACTTCATTATATCATTGATAATCCACTATTATTAACTATACAATGTTTCTCACTCTGTCCTTCCTTTCCCCTCATCCATTACCTCTAGTGGAATGGTGTCTGCACATCTTTCACCTGCATTGAACTCGATGGGAACAAATGAAGCTGTCCAGTTTTCTTCATCCTCTTGTTCTCTTGTTTCCTCTGTAACAGTTTTAATAACATGATACAGCAGCCATCTTTTCTTGGAAGAAAGGAAATGGGGAACTAGAACTTAGAGATGAAGAAGCTTCAGTGGATTTAAAACATGTGCCCAAAGCATGGTTTGGTGTGGTGCTGCTGCCATGCCGAAACAGCACTGCTGAAATTACACTTATATGCTTCTTTAGTAGTCCAAGGTGCTGTGTCAGTGTAAATCAAGGACTTTTCCAGGAACTGTGCTTTATTTTCTAGGCTGAACAGAGAGACCCATTTGGGAACCTGATCCGTAAATACATCTGAATTTGATTTCTGGCAGCTGCCCTACAGTTAGGCACCAAATCCCAGCTATGCTTCACCTAGTTTTAGGTATGCATTTGATGTACCCAATTTAGCCAGCTGATCTCCCCAGGCTCCTTCTATAGTTTTGAAGGGGTGGGATGATAAAGTATGGTTGGGATCCTGGGAGGACTGAGGTACTGTGCTAAAGCACTTCTGTGTAGTCAGGCAGGGTGAATATTCCTCCCCCTTCCTGTGTGGTAGCCCAGTGGCTGTTATAAATTGTTATCGTGCTACTGACATCAAAAGATGCTCAAGGTCTTCTACAGCAACACTGACAGAAGCCTATTGTACAAGGAATTAAAAAAACCCCACCAGACAGCCCCCACACCCTGGACAACAGGCTTTGTATTCTTTCACAAGAACGAGGTAGGATATGAGAATTTTCTCATGCATAAATTTGGTTGTCTGGTGCTTTGGGAAAAGAATACCTCCCCATGTGCTGACAGCAGCCAGTAGGCATTGGTTCTAAAACTGGCACAGTGGTTGGAGCACAACACAGTTTAAAAGATGTGGTTAGAAACTCAGTGTGAATGCTGTGATTTTCCCTTAGGCTGATATCACGCCCATTTTCCAAGAAAGTGAAAAAAAATACAGTTTTATCAGTTCCAACA